GGGGTTCCGAGTCCGACCAGAAATTGATCAATTTGGTTCGACTCACTGTCCGTCGCCTCAGTGCGCGAGCCGGGTCCTTTTCCTTTCGGAGACGAATTGGCGAGCTCTTGCTCCCTTTTTTTGCTCACGTGTCCTCTCTTGTAATTCGGAATCGAATCTGTCTTGATCCCGAAAGGACTTACGTTTTCTCGTGTGAAAGTGCAAATTAATTGTGCCCGAACAGTGTTAGTAATAAAGCTTATTGTCATCAATCAACAGGAGAGTTTTATTTTCCGCGGATTCCGATATTCTTTATAACGCGAAACTTGCCTCTAAGCTCCACATCGTGTTCACTGCTCTGGGGTCAGTGGAGCCGAGCATATCGCGGAACATTTGGTCCTTCGAGCCGGATTCCACGCGGGGTAAAAGATAAAAGATTCTCCTGACACGTGCCTTACACGTGCCTTACGAATGGGATCTTGTCTCGCAAGCTCGAGGTCCTCCAAGGAACAGCTGCTAAAGGCAACCGAGAATCGTCTCCTTGCATCGCGAAAAGTGCCTTCTCGTGCATCTTAGTGCATACGGTGCAGTGACGATTCCCGCGAACTTTGTGGGGTCGAAATTCATTACTTTCTTCGCCACGCGGTCCGGCTTGCGAGGTTTCGCGCGTGACGTCATCGCGTGATCATCACGTGTATTTCGCATGGACGCTCGCTCCGCGCGCGAGATCGCCGGAGCGCATTGAATCGAGTCTGCGCAGAGCCGCGCGCGCGTGTAACACGGACTGTCAGCTGTCGCGAGTACAATTTACACGAGGCGAAATTCGCCGCGTGCCGAGGAGAGACATATTTCACTCGTAGAGAGCGCGCCCGCAACGTTTAATGTGGACACGTGAATACGCCGCTCTTCTCTGTTTGGACGGATACACCATTGTCTCGCCATGGAGGAGATTATTAAGAAACAGACTGTCTTAGGCGGTTTTATCTCCCGTATGTGGGTAAATTTGCAAAAGCTTGGGCAAGCGAAAATTACTCCGACGGAGATTAATACGCGCACCGAGCGTCTTAACGAATACTGGCGCCAATTTCAAGACCAGCACTTCCTCGTGTTGTGAAGTCGGAAGCCGACAAGACTGAATATGTTCGGCGGGATTACTTCACGACAATCGAGGAAAGCTATTTTGAGGTGCGACACAAATTCGCGGAAGCGTTAGCCGATTTGACTCTGACCCGCGCAACTGGCCAATCGGCGCACGATCGTACGCACGATTCAAGCTTCGGCGACAAGGCGTCTGTATTTAGACAGATGCAATTGCCGAAGATCACGCTGCCGAAGTTTTCAGGCGATCAGCTCGCGTGGGAGGGTTTTCGCGATTTATTCCGCTCACTCGTGCACGATGTCTCAACGATCTCCAAGGTGCAAAAGCTGCAATACCTGAAGAGTAGCTTGACAGGCGAGGCGGCACATGTGGTGGACAGCGTTCCTTTGACCGACGCCGCCTATCAAGGTGCGTGGGAGGATCTACTAGCAAGGTACGACAATCCTCGCATTCTTTTGTACGCTCATATGCGTAATTTACTGTCTTGCCCTGCCGCAAGTGCTAAAGCTTCGCCAACGGAAATAAAGCGCTTACTCGGAGTGACCTTGCGCTTGCTTAGAGCATTTAAGTCGCTTAAAAGACTAGTCGATCACTGGGACGACTGGGTGGTCCATCTCCTTGTAAGCAAATTAGACGCGGCCACCCCCGTTCATTGGGAGACCTCGCTCGCGGACTCTCGAGTTTTTCCCACTTTCAAGGAACTCCAACGCTATTTGGAGAACAGGATACGCGCTTTAGAGGCAGCCAATCCAGAGTCGACTCTCAGCCGATCCACGCCAGCGGTGGTGGAATCTTCGAAGAAGCCCACTCGCGTGTCGTCTAACGCCGCCACGACTTCCAAGCCTAAGACGGACAAAGGCTGCTCGATGTGTAAGGCAAACCATCTCCTGCCTTATTGCTCGAAGTTCAAGGCGCTGGCCGTCGAACAACGTGGCGAGCACATATGGAAGACTGGGTTGTGCAGCAACTATCTGCGTTCGGGACACGGACCGGATTTATGTCAGCATACTGGACGCTGTCTGGTGTGCGGAGGTAAACACCATACCGTGGTGCATGGTGGATGTCGTTCAGGGTCGCGTGCGGATGACGGAAAGCGGTCCAAGGCAGAGACGACGAGCGACCTGTCAACTAGTGTTTCGGCACTCGCTATGAACACTGGTCGAACCATGTTACTTTCCACAGCGGAAGTGCTTCTGCAAGGTCCCACCGGTGAGACTCTGATGGTGCGGGCGTTATTAGACTCAGGTTCGGAGGCGTCTTTTGTGACTGAATCAGTGGTACAATCGCTGCGATTGAAACGCCGAAGTGTTGATGTCGTGGTCGCAGGACTACAGGGCACTCGGTGTCCTCGTCGGTTCGTGTCGCATTGCGGTCTAGACTCTCTCCAGCTTCGGAGATCGTGGTGGACGCGTTCGTTCTTCGTACGCTCACTAACCTTATCCCGTCTAGGCATGTTTCAGGATGCTCATGGCCTCACATTCAGGGTCTGCAGTTAGCCGATCCGCGCTTTGATGTGCCATCTCGCATTGACGTCATCCTGGGCGCTGACGTTTACGGTCAGGTGCTACAACCGGACGTACGACATGGTGAACCTGGTTCGCCTACAGCGCAGCTCACTTCGCTCGGCTGGGTGTTACTCGGAACATTATGAACACGCAGCGGAGGTACCGTAAACAGCCAGTTGTCGGTCCATCATGTACAGGCGCGAGATGCGCTGGCTGCTGTTCTCCAACAGTTTTGGGAACTGGAGGATGTTGGAACGGACAAACCATTGAGCCCTGAGGAGGAACAAGCGGAGCAGCACTTCGTGAGCACGCACTCCCGCGACTCAGACGGGAGATACGTAGTGCGTTTGCCATGCCGCACGGGACCCGCTCGACTAGGAGCATCTCGACCTGCGGCGCTATCAATGTTGCTGTCCTCGGAAAGGCGGCAAGCGAGGCAGCCGGAACTTCGGCGAAAGTACAACGACTTCCTGACGGAGTATTTGGCGCTGGACCACATGGAGATCGTCTCACGAGGGCACGCAGCTCCTAGTGAGGCGTACTACATGCCACACCACGCCGTCTTTAAGGCGTCTGATCCGGCGTCAAAGATCCGTGTAGTTTTCAACGCCTCTGCCCGTACTACGTCAACTTACTCCCTGAACGACTGCCTGCTACCGAGGCCGCGACTCCAGGCGGATCTTTGGCTGGTCATCACTCGATGGCGCATGTTCCGAGTCGGATTTTTGGCAGACATTGTCAAAATGTTTCGCCAGGTCCGGATCCATAAGGAGGATGCAGATCTTCAGCGCACAGTCTGGCGCCCGGAGCTAACGGGAGAAGTCCGTGACTTCCGTCTCTTAACAGTAACTTACGGTACGACTCCCGCGCCATTTTTAGCGCTTCGTACTTTACACCAACTGGCGCAGGACGAAAGCTCTCGCTTCCCGGATGGTGCAACCGCTCTGCTACGCCACTCTTATGTGGACGATATTTTGACGGGTGCCTACGTCTTGGAGGGAGCACGGGAGTTGCAGAACCAGCTGGTGGCTATACTTCAAGAGGGCGGCTTCGCCCTGAGCAAGTGGGCGTCCAACGACCCGTCTCTCTGTATCAGAACCGGACAGGAGGAATGCGTGCTTCCGGCGGGCGAAGTGGTCAGCGCACTTGGCATTCGGTGGGACCCAGCTGCCGATACCCTTACGTTGAAGATAACTTCACCCTCGGATCACAAGGCCGTCACGAAGAGGGTGGCGCTCTCCGAAGTGGCTCGCTTGTTTGACCCCTTGGGATGGGTCGCACCGGTCTTAATCTTCGGTAAGATCTTCATTCAAGATCTGTGGGTGCGAGGATGTGACTGGGACGAGCCTCTGGACACGGAGTTGGAGCGTTTATGGACCACATTTCGATCTTCGTTGCCGATTCTCGATGGCGTCCGGTTGCCCAGGTGGGTCCAGACGGGTGCGGGGAACAGGGATACTCAGATCCACGGATTCTCCGATGCATCGGAGAGAGCGTTTGCGGCGGTTCTCTACTTGAGAGTCGTCAAGCCTTCAGGCCAAGCGGTGACAACGCTCTTGGCCGCCAAGACGAAGGTGGCACCTGTGAAGACGCAGAGTGTCCCTCGGCTGGAACTTTGCGGGGCTGTCTTGCTCACCAGGCTTTTGGACAGAGCAACGAGAGGATTCGACCTTTCGGCGATACCCGTCTTTGCCTGGACGGACGCACAAGTCGTCCTAGCATGGCTCCGTTTGCACGCTTCGAGATGGAAGCCGTTCATCGCGCACCGGGTCTCTGAAATCCAGTCAACGCTGCCAAGCGAGTGCTGGGGCTATGTTCAGACGGCCTCGAATCTTGCGGATCTGGTAACACGAGGAATCAGCCCTGCCGAACTCTTAAGTTCGGAGCTATGGTGGCATGGCCCGTCCTGGCTGCAACAACCACAGACGAGCTGGCCTCGTCTGGACGCACCTCAGTGCACAGCATGGAAGGAAAAACAGAGAGCTGTAGCAGTACTCACTGCTCACGCGGACATCGACGACGAACCTCTTTCACGCTCCCTCTCCCTCTTCCCCTCACTCTTCGCTCTGTTACGTGCAACAACTTATTGTTTCAGATTTGTTCGAAACGCTAAAGGAAAGGATCCCAAGACTTCTGGTTTTCTCACTCAGGCTGAACTGCAGGATAGTCTAACCGCGTGGGTACGCTACGCCCAATCGCCGTTCCACTTGGAAAGCGAAGCCTTGAGGGCGGGGCGATCAATCTCGGTGCGATCGACCTTGAGGACGCTTTAGCCCTTTCTAGATGAGAAAGGTCTACTTCGGGTCGGAGGCCGACTGCATGCTGCCTTTCTACCATATGCCAAAAAGCATCCCTTGATTTTGCCGAAGACAGGGCGTTTTACTTGGCTTATCGTGCAGGATGCGCACGCAGCCACAATGCACGGGGGTCCACAGCTAACTCGGAGTCATCTTCTCCGCAAATACTGGATTGTCCAGGGTGGCTTGCTGACTCGGCGCATCGTGCGGGAGTGCGTGCGCTGCACTCGCTTTCGACAGGAAACTGGGCAGCAGCGGATCGGACAGCTTCCGTCGGTGAGACTTCGCCCGTCTCGACCCTTCCTTTCGTCCGGAGTGGACTTCGCCGGACCAATCAAGGTTCGTGCGTCGAAGGGCCGAGGTCGCACGGCATTAAAGGGCTACATCAGTCTCTTTATCTGTTTGGCGACGAGAGCGATTCACTTGGAGGCGGTCTCTGATCTCTCGACTGAGGCCTTTATCGCAGCATACCGTCGCTTTACTTCACGACGAGGTCGTTGTGCGGAGTTGATGTCAGACAACGGCACCAATTTCCGCGGAGCAGACCAGGAACTTAGGCGGATGCTGAGGGCCGCGTCTGACGCTGGTTCGCACTTGGCGAACAAAGGAACGACGTGGACCTTTATCCCGCCTCACGCACCGCACTTCGGTGGAATCTGGGAAGCGGGTGTCCGGTCAACCAAACACCATTTAAGGCGTATCGTCGCCGATCACGCCCTCACTTTTGAGGAGCTCTCCACTGTGTTGTGCCAAATAGAGGCATGCTTAAATTCCCGACCTCTCTATCCTCTCAGCTCCGATCCTTCTGATCTGACCGCCTTGACCCCTGGTCATTTCCTAGTGGGTGAGGTTCTTACGAGCATTCCTGAGCCGATAACTCCAGATGAGTTGCCATCTCCGCATAACCGTTGGCGTCTACTCACTAATATGCGGGATCATTTTTGGCGCAGGTGGTCAAAAGAATACCTGCATCATTTGCACCAGTCATCTAAGTGGCTGCAAACCAGGAGCAATATCCGAGAGGGAACCTTAGTCCTGATCAAAGACGACCTCCTCCCCCCAACAAAGTGGGCGATGGGCAGGATTGTCAACGTCTTTCCCGGACCCGATGGATTGGTGAGAGTGGCGGACGTACGAACAGCCTCCTCCGTCCTACGGAGATCGGTCACGAAGCTGTGTCCACTGCCAGTGCCGATCGAACAACGAGAGGCGTAGGATAATCCACTCAGGATTTGTCATTGTATTGTAAACCATCCCTTCGAGATTTAAATTTTTGTAACTGCTTAGATTAATATCCCTTTTCGCCTACTGTACTGTTCTCGCACGGCGGGCGGCCGTGCGAACGTTAATGCTATTTCGTCGCTCACAACGAGGCGGGCGGCATGTTCGGGAGAGATCCGAGCTTTTCGCTCGGACTCGCCTTTTCCTCTTGCCTCCCTCGTCCTGCCGCGTGATTAGAGTCGCGACGGGGGCACGGAGGCGGGGGGGGGGGGGTTCCGAGTCCGACCAGAAATTGATCGATTTGGTTCGACTCACTGTCCGTCGCCTCAGTGCGCGAGCCGGGTCCTTTTCCTTTCGGAGACGAATTGGCGAGCTCTTGCTCCCTTTTTTTGCTCACGTGTCCTCTCTTGTAATTCGGAATCGAATCTGTCTTGATCCCGAAAGGACTTACGTTTTCTCGTGTGAAAGTGCAAATTAATTGTGCCCGAACAGTGTTAGTAATAAAGCTTATTGTCATCAATCAACAGGAGTTTTCTTTTCCGCGGGTTCCGATATTCTTTATAACGCGAAACTTGCCTCTAAGCTCCACATCGTGTTCGCTGCTCTGGGGTCAGTGGAGCCAAGCATATCGCGGAACACCGATAATTGTGGATCTGCGCAGCCGCCGGGAAATGCTACCGACACGTACTATACACGTACAAGACCTAAAACCCACGCACGGGCTCAGCCGAAAAAACGAGAATAACAAAAACAATGATTCCTTCCTCAACACCGAATCCGAAGGCGAGGGAGGAGAATAATAACACCGACACCGAGGAAGAAAATCCGGACGACCCCGCTGCCGAAAACAATAACGACTTATAACAACCGGAACCCAACAAAGACACGTCACTAGTTAACGAAATGTTGAAGGATACGGACGACGTCTTGAAAGAGATTGAGAAGATCCTGGCGGAAACCGATCAGCCGTCGACCTCTGCTCCGTCTTCTAAACCGCCGGTATGGCCACCACCATCCCGCCTCCCCCCCCCCCCGAGTTGCGACGGTTCGATTACGGGTACTTTTTAGCAAGGAAGACACAGATAGGCACTGTGTAACAGAATTGAGCACTGTGCATAGGTGCTTGCTGAAACGGTTTTTGATTCTCAACATAGCCGCTAGTTCGCGCTCAATTGGTTGTGCCTGTTTATTACACCAGATTTCTGTACTATATAAATAATAATATATATTATCTTGTGTATAGGTGCCACAAACAAAAAAGAAGATTTAATTGAGTTGTATAAAAATAAAAATAAATCTAATTTGTTTTAGAATACTAAATATTAAAAGTATTTATTTAAAATACTAAATATTAATAAAGTATTTATTTAGAATACTGAATATTAATTAAATTAATATCTTGAAGATGGACGAGGGCAATAATAGATTTGTTTTTGAATTGTTGGAAAAACCAAATTTATATAGCGCAGTTCAACAAGTAATGATAATGATTTAAATGATGAGTCAAGCAGCGATTCAGAGAGCATTCTATCATCTAGCAGTGAAGAAGAAGATGTATTATTATTTCTCTTAATGAAATATTTAATAACTGGTCGAAAGAAACATCGTGTTGAAAACTATTTATAAGTAGTTGATTCCTGGACTAATTAAGAATTTAAAGAACATTTAAGATTAAAACGATGTGTTGATTTTAAAACTAATTAGTAAGTATACATTGTATATATTACAGTTGTAATTATGTAATTATATGTATATTATGCAAAATTTTAAAAAGCATTAATGTTTTTTAGATAAGTTAGAATTATCTGGTTTTATACCATCACATGGTTTTGGAGTAAAGCTCATATCAGCCAAATTAAGCCTTTTGTTATTCTTATGGTACATTGCTAACACTGAACCATTAAGAACAATGGCAGATAAATTTAACGTTTCTATTGCATCGGTATTTCGAGTTTTACGACGAGTAATAGTTTGGCTCCTGACTAAATTGGATACAATCATTAGATGGCCACAAGGATATACTGTTTTAGATATTTGTGAACAGTTTTTCAAAAAGCGAGGAATTCCAAACGTTTTAGGAGCAATTGATGGCACCCACATTTGTATAGAGAAATCTGTGACCGATGCGTGCGATTACTGCAATCGAAAAAAAATATTTTTCTATTATATTACAAGCCAGTTGCAGATGCAGATTTGAAATTTACAAATATATATTGTGGTGAGCCTGATTCACTTCACGATGCACGTGTCTTTAGAAGATCTCCATTTTATGAATTAGCATCCACTAATCACATGTTATTTCCTAATGATACATTTATATTAGGTGATTCCGCATATCCATCTTTACCGTGGCTTGTTCCGCCATTCAGAGATAATGGTCACTTGACACCTCAACAAATCGAATTTAATTATCTGCATTCTTCGACGCGAATGTTGGTTGAAAGAGCTTTTGGTCAACTAAAAGGACGTTTTCGTCGTATTAAATTTTTCACTGAATATCGCAAATTATCTTTTATAACTAATACAGTTGTAGCATGTATACTGCACAATTATTGTATTGACGAAAATGATTTTTGTGAGTTTCCTGAAATTTATGACAATTTTGATTTAAACAATGTACCAGTTGAAGAATTTAATAATGTAATAGGAATAAATCGTCGGATGCAAATATTCCAGGAAATGTTTTCTGATTATTTATATATTAATTTTTTTTAAATATAATAAATAAATAATAAATCATAATAAAATATATTTTTACAAATATTTTTATTTAAAACACGATATACACCTCTTCCTTCTCGGCCATAGAGCTAAACGCGATGTTATTGCGAGAATTAAGCAAGAAAATTAAGGAATTTGGAAATTTGTATCCTATGGATTCAAATTTGTATCCTATGTATCCTATGAAGGAGGAGGTGTATATCGTGTTTTATATTAAAAGAGCCGATCAATATTCTTATTATTGTTTATTCGCGTTTGGGCCTAATTACGACGCTTTAGGGGGTGAAAGCATTGAGAAAAGAATTGTTTCGTAAGTGTCTGAATAGCTCAGTTGGAAGAGCATTCGCTCGGCAAGCGGAAGGTCTCGGGTTCGATTTCCGATTTTAGCCAACTTTCGGACCAATATTTTTCTCGCTTATTTCTTTACAGGGGAAGTTAAAAGAGAAACAAGGAGAATTCTTGAGATCCCAACCATAGGATACAAATTCTCAGATTCCTTAATTTACTTACTTAATTTCGCAATAATATCGCGTTTAGCTCTATGGCCGAGAAGGAGGAAGTGTATATCGTGCTTGATATTAATAGTTATAAAATTATACCTCGTAATTTTAAAATTGTGCAACATAATTTGACGCTTCCTATTAATATTTTTATTAACATAGAAATACTGCAAAATTTGTCTATCTGAATTGTAATTTACAATTATATTTAAAAGAGATATAAACATAGATAGAAGATAAAAAGTATGAATTTAAAACCTTTTCTCCTCAAATTCATGTTTACAATAAGTACGCGTCTAACAACATATGCTTTTTCCAATCAACGCGATGAATTTTAATATCAAAAATATATTATTATTATTATTCAATATATTATTATTCCATTTGCTTCTCTATTATTTTTCGTTTCTTACTATTTTTAAATGATAAATGTTGAATCTTTATTAACAACGTAAAATTTGTACAACAATGTTACACCATGAACATAAAATTCGAAGAAAGATAAAAATCCGTTATACTAAAATCGAAAAACAATTAAAATATCTTGAAATTTTTCTATAGCTCATCAATTAGAATATGAAAAGGGAGCTACTATGTAATTTACGCACATCTTTACGTATAATTAATTTAGGAATCGTAATATTGAAATAATTATCGACCCATGAAGATTAATCGAATAAAATAATTTAAAAATATTATAATTTACACATAAAAGAAAAAATATATATGAAACTAAACACAGTCTGTGTGTGTAAATTTATAGTACGAATTTTTAATAGATATCTCTGGCTGATTTAATACTTTAATTTATTAAAAACTCCATTTTCATCTCGACTAAGAGCCAAAAGCGATGTTATTGCGACAAATTAAGATTAGAAATTTTTGGAAACTGAGGAATTTGAATCCTATGGTTGGGATCTCAGAAATTCCCCTTGTTCCTTCTCTTAACATCCCCTGTAAGAAAAAGACGAGAAAAATATTGGTCCGAAAGTCGGCTGAATCGGGAATCGAACCCGAGACCTTCCGCTTGCCGGGCGACTGCTCTTCCAACTTTAATTTATATTTAAAAGTAATTCTGACACTAATTAAATATTGTAAAAAGGAAAGAAGTGTCGTTTATTAATTTTCTCAGACATTTAAATCAAAGTTAATGATAATTTAATTTAATTCTTACTTACACAATTAAAATAAATTTAATGTTTCACATATTGCCAAGAATAAAATGACAAGTATATAAAAGAATGTCACCGCATTGAAAGTATTATTAAATTAAGAAATATTTTTATTTCTATATTGCTATATGTTGCGGATTGCGCTGATAATACAATTTTTATCGGGAATAAAGTAGAAGAGGGGATTGACTGTTAACAGCGGAAATATCGTTTAAAAACACTTTATTCTGAATTTCACAGATAACTAAAGTTCACATGTAATAATTAAGCACACTCGACGAACGGTGGAAAAAAATTCAACGGGAACGTACGGAAATCTTGCGCTTGATCGGCCTTGCTGCGCGCGTACGCGACGGAAATCTTGGGCAGAACTATGCGGTAGTTTCGAACGCGACGAAAATCTTCTCGTGACAATGTTAACGAAAGATCGCAGTGATCAAGAGCCGAACGCGGATGCGCGACGCACCGTTCGCGAGATCGAGGTCTTGAAGAGTCTCCGTAACGCTGTAATGTCGGGGCACGTGGTGACACGTGCGATAGTAACGGCAGCCGTAATGTGCGTGTAGTTCACAAAAATGAACGGAACTAACTGAAAATATTG